TGGTGAAGGAGCAAATCGGTGTCTCAAAATTAAATGTTATTTTGTTAAATTTGTTAAGAGGGGAACTTCTTTCAGTTATGAGGAATTCAGCGCGATACTGTTTGGCGGCCGTAGTTTGGTTCGAGTGTCACAGTCTACTCTTCGTCATGTCGGCCTTTCACACGCGAGCTCTGCAGTACTGAGTTTTAAACAACTTCAAACTAACAAAAAGTCTGTAAGTAATGACATGAGATCAAGGATATCTTTGTTAGAATTATCTAATCACTTATCTTCCATGTCTCATCCCATCTCAGACAGAAAATTCTTCGTCGGTTGCCTGTTATCACGATTCTTCGCGATCGCCCGATAGACGGAGAGCCGACCGATTCATCGACGGCGGCTTCTGTTCGTCCAGTCACCATACAGCACAGAGGGCTTACGATTTAATAATTACTGCTTGACTTGCCGCGAGCAGAGGCTCTTCGATCTCCCTAAAGAGCCGCCTGAGTCGGATAAAACATCTTCTCTTTCCTTACTTATGAATCTATGAAATCACTGAGTACCGTAATTTCTTGGCATTGTTCTTGATTAGGTCTGATACTGCCTACACTATCGCAGCATTGCTGTTTTATCGCTGAGTCTTGCTGACTTGCATAGTGATTTGGTCATTAGTTCAAGTTTTACCGTCTTCTCTGAATCTACAAGAACAAAAGTGAAGTGAGAACATTATCAGTTACTGAAGTAGTGATGGGGGTATGCCAGCAAATGTTTCAGTACACATTTTATATTGAATCACAGAACACTGCATGCAGCCTCAAGTTGTCCGCTCTCTGCTCTTAATAGATCGTGATATTAGTAGGTAAGATCAACTTTCCGATTTGTTTAAAAACCGAAACTGCAACTTGTAATTAATGCCTACTGATTAAAAAGGTGAAAAAGGAGATGAAGCTAGCATAACTGAATTACTGAGAAGCTTTGCAACTACAGATGCAACTGTGTTTTTCGACGCACTGCAGTCTTAACTGAGTTGACGTTGTTCCTGGATTTTCATTAAAGTGGTTGGATATAAAGCCTCATAAAAGGGCTAAAAAGGAGAAAAAGTCATAAGTGATAATTAAATAACTTTCATTTTGTTTAGCCTTAGATATTCATTACAATACATATTAAAAATTGAATCTTCTGCCTGTCATATTTCATAGAACATACGACCTGGCTGATCCCTCAGACTGAATCGGTTCCCCTCTCCCTCTCTTCCTTAAATAGCATATAACTGAACTGCGATCTCTACCTTGATAATAAGACACTTTTCAGAGATACTCGAGAACTAGAATCAGTTGAATTTTACTCAGATCAATTTTTGTTTAAAGAGTGCTTATTATATATGTACATTCGAGAAATTTTAAGTGCATCCCATATAATAAGTATTATCCAAGAAGGAAACGATTTCATTTAGTTTATTAAGCCACTTTGTACGGAATGATGTAGACGAGCGTTGCTAGAATCAGTTGAATTTTACTCAGATCAATTTTGTTTAAAGAGAGCTTTTTTATATGTATACATTCGAGAAATTTTAAGTGCATCCCATATAATAAGTATTATCCAAGAAGGAAACGATCTCATTTAGTATATTAAGCCACTTTCTACAGAATGATATAGGCGAGCGTTGCTGTGAGAGAGTTAAAAGGCTTTTAGAATGTTATTGGATTTCGACAGACTGAGTGAAAGATGATAAAGAGTAGCAGTGACCGAAAAGCCTGACTGAGTCACGTAGTGTTCACTTGAAACTTAACTTAGTGATGGAATGGCTAAGTGCTGTCATGAAGTATGTACCAAGCTAGCCCTGAGCATCCCCTACCGCAAGACTGTCAGGCTAACAGAAACACTGTAAAAGAACTTTTCATTTAAATATAGCCCAAAGATTTGTAAACAACCTTGCAATACTGAGTAGCCATACAAAAAGATATATTGGCAATAGTTTGCGCTTGATTAAAGCGACATTAACTTTGTTATTTCAGAAGGAAATAAGCCGGTTCTTGAACAATATTCTGTTACAATTTTACAACTTTTCACCAATATCTTTTTCACTTAATCCGATATCAGAGGTCTTGAGTCGCTAACAAAACTAATTCAATTTTTTGTTAAAGACAAAAATTCCTCAGCAAAAATATGCTGTTAGAATGATAGCATTATTTTAGCATCCTGAGCCTCCTACGGTTAATATTTTAACAGAATAACCCTTTTATTCTTATCTGTTTGTTAGTAAACCCTGATTTTTAAATAACGAGATTGTTTACACTAGTATCATGTGTAAATCCAGGGATTTTCTATAGCCGGATTGTCAGTTTCGTGCAGTGGAGCTTTCGACTGAAACTACGTAGCTCACTGCTTAACAAGTTCCGAAAGCTTTCGAATGCAACAATTGGCGACTTTTAGGCACCAAAGTGACCACAATTAAGGCAAAGCTGATTAAACGGGGAACACTAATCGGTAAGAGACATCTAATATCTTGTATCCACTAATTTGGAATTTTAGCCACCGAATCAGTGTCTCTGCGGCAAAAAACGCTGAACATATTTCGAGTGACTCAGTGAAGCGGCCATCGAAATCCGGCGTATCGCTGTCTGAAAACAATCAAAAGTTAATTCAGTTTAACTTGGCTATATCCGATAACAAGCGATTAGAGTAAGCGCGTGTTAAAAGTAAAACAAATTAAATGGGTTACCTTGCTCTAGCCGCGACTATTGTCTGAAACCACAAACTTTAACTCAACAGCTCCAGAGTCACGTATCGGAGTAAAACCTCCAAGATCGAGCGAACGAACAGTGTAGTTTGCTTAGATTCTGGTGAATAAGTAGTGAACTGACTTGGGATCCTCTTTTGGTTTAATAATTTAAAACGCGATTTTTGAACAAGGGTGTAACAACAAGGTTTTCCCTTCGCGACCCACACAGTTCCTTCTTCCCTCTTTCGAGCGTGGTTTTCTGGTTAGGCTTAAACAACAAATCATTCAAACAGCTTTTGTGGCTATCATACCACTTCAGAGTAATTTACCTTAGTTAGGATATGACAGCATACGAATTAAATATAGCCGACATTGCGGCTGGAGCAGAATATTTACGAGCGAAGAAGCTTTTCTCGTGACTTCGCGCGTGAAATCCACGAGCTAACGCGTAAATCTAATTAGCCCCTCATAAAGGCGTTACCGTCCGTGACGAGAAAGGGTACAAGGCAATGAAATTTGCAGTTCACAAGGCAGTTAGGCTTGATTACAAGAAAAAACATTTACAGGAAACACTACAGTTACCGGAACTGTTCAAACAAAAGAGGCGTCTTTTTTCGCGAAGGAAAAAAGACTGGAATTCAGTCGCCAGGAAGTCAAGCTATGTATCTTTGCCATTCGCATGTGGAAAGGCCATTACTGAAGCGCAAGCTGCGTCGCGCGTGTAGGGCAATTTCTCTCGTGCGTCAATGGGTCGTGTTAATGCGCCTCGCTAGGAGAGTGTTTACAGTGTTTACTTAGCTCATCTTCAAAAGAAATCATAATTATGGCATGGAAGCAGATTGCACAGAAATATAATATTTTGAGTTGATGTCATTACTTTTCAAACATGACCAAAGTTTCATCGCTCTATCAAGGTGCAATTTAGATTGATAACGAGATAAATTAAGGTGAAAGTGACCACTTTTGTTTTCGTCTGGAGCTAGCTCGTGCCTTATTCGAGTTGCGGAGTTTAGAATAAGCTAGAACAACTTTATTGCAAAACCACATTGCACTTGGCTATTTAGACAGGACATTCCGGGGGACAAAATTCCTCGCAGAGTACGAGATACAGAATAAATATATTAAAAGCCATTTATAAACATAAACCGCCGCAAAAATACCCGAAAACAATGCCCTAAAAACGGTATGGAAATACCGAGATTATTTTAAGCAAACTTGTTTTCAAATCCACGCCTTTTTGTGAAAGCATTCAGCCATTTCCTCGGCGGCTGTCATGAACACGCGTTAGGAAAGAACACTTTACTTCATAAATGACTCAAGTTACCCTCATTAATTCAAATAAACACCCTACATGAAAACATGTACAAACACTACTCGAGGTACTAACTGGTTTTTGTTGACTTAAACCCGCTTGCAAATGCAAACGTACTCTCTTTGATAAAATGGACTAGGTAAAGAAACTCCCGAGCACAATACACAAAAGCTTAAAAGAATCGCTTAATCCATATAATACGAAGTTACGATAGCCGATCTGTTATCGAGTCTCGCTTGGTTTTAATCGGGCGCTTAATTGCTAATTTGTTTTTAGATGTAATCAGTTGTTTACTTTGCTAAAGGCTGCGTGCATTTCCTGAACTACGTCTTTCTGTAGATTAAATTAGAAATTAATTCTCAGAATTACGTTTAATTTGCCATCCTCTGCTGGTTTTGGGGCCTAATAGTCCCACTCAGCGACTTAGAGGCGTTACCGAGCACCTGGATCGCGCATGTTATAAAATTGGTTAAAACAACAAAGCGAAAAATAACCTTAAACAATTTGAGAAGTCTTTTGTTGTTGTAAGGAATGCGTAGTCAGATGGAATTTACGTCAAGTTGACAGATACTTTTAATTCACGCCAGATGCCCCGGGGACATGCCTCTTGCGCGCCGCAAAATCAAAGGTGACCGGCCGTCTCCCAACGATCAGAAGAGAGATATAAATGTGTGCAGTTGACAAGTAATTGCATACCCCTCACAACCGCATTACGTGAATCTGAGTACTTTTGGGTTTGTTAAGAGATACTGACTACAAGATTTTGCGCCGCAAAACATCCTCTGTGAAAACACCAACTACATCTATTTCAGGGCTACATACTGCTTGTGGGTGGTCTGTGGAGCGACAGAGTTATATAGGAGCTTTAATAGCGTTCAGGAACTTTCCCGGTTCAAGCGATCCGCAAGGGCAACGATCACTAAGTGGTTCTTCGCGCGACTACAAGATTAGACTCACGGGAGAATAACGCAAGACAGAGAGTGTGTAATGGATTATCACGGAAGAGACGCTTTAGTCGGAAAAGAGAACGTTGTTGATTACAAAGGAATAGACGCAGGAAGCCCATCAAGTGCTGACAAGGTGATGTTTCCAGTGAGCGAACACAAGGAAATAGCTTCTGATATTCCAGTGGTGTACCGTACAGGAAACTTACATAATACTGGTATCCAATCCAAGCTCTTCTCCGCCGATATAAAAAGCCCCGACACAGAACAACACAACATTACATGTCCGGCCAGCAAACCATCCACTATGCAGTCGAGAAGCAAGCCTTATCTATCCGAAGAAGTGAAGCCGCCATTTTCGTACATTGCTCTGATTGCAATGGCCATCGATAGTTCCCCATACCGCATGAGGACACTGAACGAGATCTATGAGTTCATTATGATGCGTTTCCCGTATTTTCGCAGGAATCAGCAGAAATGGCAGAATTCTATTCGCCACAACCTTTCTCTGAATGACTGCTTCATAAAAGTTCCTCGCAGCTACTTTGGCAAGCCAGGAAAGGGGAACTACTGGACCCTGCATCCCGGATCAGGAGACATGTTTGGAAGTGGTAGCTTTCTGCGCAGAGCGAAGAGATTTAAATGCCGCCCTCCGCAGAAGCCCAACGAGCCTGCTTTTGTGTGCAAAGTGAACTCCAATCACCATTTTAATCTCTTCGTTGACGGAGTGAACCAACACATTCGGAGCTTCGTTCAAATGCAGCCAGCCCACCTGAGCGCTATTCCGCAAAGAATCAACACGGTACCTCCGTGCGTTGCGAGTTCAATTCAGCTCCAACTAACTGCCGCACATGGCGTTATTCGTCCAACTGCGCGTTATGGATCTTTAGAGATCCCGCAAGAACATTTTGGAGCTTTTCAGCCAGTTCCTCAGGCCTCAAAAGCCCGACGGCGAGGTTTCATGATTAGAGAGCTTATTGAACAAGGAAAAAGAGAACTAGAAGATCCTTCAGACGACGAAGATGCCAGTGTTTGTGAGCCTTCTAAAAAGAAAGCGCGATATGAGTGAGATTAGCAAACTGAACTGCAAGTTCAAGCCACAGAAGGTGGAAAGTCTCACAGTTAACAGCTTTTACGGCTCCTCTCATTGAACTTCGAGGTCCTAAGAGATCTGAACTTTTCCCAGTACACCGCTTCAGACTGAATGCCCCGCGATCTGTATAAACACTGAATATTTCAGTTTATATTTAGCGATATTCGCTAGTTATCCGTTGACAAGAAAATCTTTGCAAAAACTTTTATTTAAATCGTTTAAATCGTTCCAAAAGGCGCAGATATGACGGGTGCATCATTTTAAGAGAGTGTATCGAACTGAGGCTCGATGTGTTGGAGAAACAATCACGCTAGGTGCTAAGATAATTAACAGTTTTGTAGCAGGCATTTTTCTCATCACTTATCCAAAGGAGTAAAATACCCTCAGTACTTGAAGGATTATGAAGAATTATGATAAATCTTAGGCTTTCTGCCTATTTCAAATGATTTTCAAACCGGTAATTGACAAAATTTTATTTACTAAGAAAGTTATTCATTTATAGAAATCTCGTTTGTCTAAGCAGCGAAAAGTATAACGTACATCAGACGCAACGTTAGCGTTTTTTCAAGAGATAGATCACTTTACTGTTTAAAGATTTCTTTTAGCACTTTTCGAATCTTAAACATTGTGTTACAGTTTACCGAGTGTGCCAGTTTGTTTCTGTTTCAATTACAAACGTTCGCGCAGTGGTTAATAGAACAGTAATCTATCGACAGAATTATGTTTTTATAATTGCCACAGTTGAATTCGCTGAATCTATGCCACTGGAAACAGCTTAAGACTTACCAAGGAAAAAATTCAATTTGGGCCGGAGCAGGAAATGGCTTAGGAAGTATGGGACATGACAGTTTGTACAAGATTTTGTTAGCTTTACCGCAGATTTACGTGGACAAAACACAACAACAATTAACCTCAGGAATTTTTATGACATACTGCTGTCCTCCCATTTACTACAATAGCTTGAAATAATATAGATAGCTAAGTTGGTCGAGCTGGTCTCCGTTAACTTTGCAAAAAATAGTAGCAATTGGGGATTTTTTGATGGCATGTAAGTATATATCATATATATACTGAATACAAATAAAAAAAGAGCAAATAAAGCTTTTCCTTTGGAAAAAACTGTGTCTAAAACCTTGGAGTTATATATAGAATATTGACGTCAGTTTTCACGGTTGTTACCAGGGTACCAATCATCAAGATTTTGACCGGTGCTGATTTAACGGAAGGGTGTGTACCGGATCATGCACAAAGACCAGTTTACAAGAATTTACTTCTCTGCAAATAACATTCCTTTGCAGAAATAAAATTGCCCTCGAAGGCTTGAAATACACACTATTGCTCGCAGCAGTTTGTTTTCATTTCGCATTACAATCAGCGTCTTTTAAGAAAAAAAAGGTTAACTGAATTAAACTCCTCAAATCCAGAGCTCAGAAAATGGGCGAGTTTATCCTCTTTTTTAAAGCTCAGATGTTTGCTCTAGATAACACTGGGACACTTCCCCTCACCGGACAAAGGCTAAATCAGAAGTATCTATTTTTGCCGCTAATTTAAATGGCCAAGCCGAAAAATAGCTGTGAAATGACGCACTCTCTAGAAGAATGTTTCGGCAATAGCTTTTGCTTTAAAAGCTTAAAAGTTAGAAATTCTTTTAAAAGGCATTAGAAAAATGATTCCTGTAAGCATACTTTTCTGTTGTTGATAATGCTCTCAGTTCTAATCTTTTTAAAGATGAGATAGCTTTTTATTCATTGCTTTTTAATCTACTTACGTTCCCTCTTTTACACTGTGGTTCTGCTAGGTGTGTGTAAAAAGGACCCTGGCTTTTGTTCCCTTAAGAGCATTCGCACCCATAGATCATTGTTATAACAACATGAATCGGTATTTTATGATCACTCTACTTTTCTTTCACTCAAAACACATAAAAAAACTGGACAAACTTTTTTCATCCTATTTAAGAATCTCATTCCTTGGTATTTAAAGAAATATTGTACAACACATTTTTCCGAATCAACAGTCGCTCGAGTCACGAGAATTAATTCTTAGCTAGATGCACGATGATAAGTCACCTAGGAGTAACCGAGTGTGATAAATAAATCGGTTTATGCGTCTGAAAAAACAATATTAGAGCGTAAGCCCTCTCAACGGGCCATGCCTTGGCCTGCTGTAACAAACTGGCACTGGATCTTTGTAACAGGGATTTATGCCTTTGTAGATTATCCGTATTGCTTAGAAGATAACTTCTTATACAAATTCTTCGAATGTTCATAGTACTCTAGATTGTTCGTTACGAGAAAAAAGAGCAGGGTTATTTAGTGCAGGGAGTAGTTCTATTCCAGGCAACAGAGGATGGGGTTTCTTATACAATTAATACCAATTCAAGTGTCGATCAAGGACTTCTTAGATAAAGCTGCATTCCGTTATTGTCCCTCCTCCGGTGAGATCAAACTCGATCAGGAATGCTTTTATAAATGGATGAATAGTATTAGAAATTAAACGAAACAATCACTGGATTTCCAATTAGATTTACCACAATCGGAAACCTATTTAGAGATATTGAGTACCCAAGAATGAAGTATTAAAGAGTTCAACAATTTCTATTAATCCTTACTGAAAAAGAACCTACTTGGCCTTTTTTTATATTTCTCAATTAGTCCAAAATTCTTTCTGGTGAATGTTTACTTATCCCTTTTCTAAAACAAGCGAAAGGTCTCTGAAAAATGGCAAAGGGGTCAGTTAACCGTTTCAAATGCAGTTTACAGATACGTAGCTTAATATCTCCGGGGAACATTATATAACACCAAGTTAAAAACCCACATCCTTCTACCGGAATATCGGAATTCACACCACTGGGGATGAAAAGCGGCTAGATTAGCGATGTGTTTACTCCTACAAATTTTATATTTAGCACCACTGAAACCGCGATTACGTAGTTTGGGTTTATTTTCCGCTGGTACTTTGCGTCAGAATTAAAGTATCGCGATAAACGACGCGGAAATGGTCGTATGATATGATACCTGCAAAAAGATACGCCTTCACTTGTTTATGGTCTTATAAACCTTATTAGTTATATTTATTTTACAAGTCGGTACATTCGAGCAGGGTTGTTGGTTTGAAGATTATATTTATTCCGAATGTTGACACAGACATGAAATGACCATCTCAAATAAAGGCCGGTATGCGGGATACGACAGGTTTGAGACAGTGGTTCCTTTCTCTATAGAATTACACTCTTTCTACTGAATAGTGTTTAGTAGTTTGAATCTTTTCCGTCCGCCACTGAGTTAAGTGTTTTCTTTCTGAGTAGTGAAGTAAAGTAATTTTTTTAGATGGTCGACCCATAACTGAGCCATTTGAAGCTAACTGACTGTGTATACATCCTAAAAACCAATGAGGGAAGGAAAGCACGAAAAACAAACGATTCTGACCGGGGTAATTTATGGAGAATCAGTGGAGTCCGGGGATTTGGCCGGTATCCTTCTCTATTACTATGCTAGTTGTTGTTAGCGATAGTATATAGTTGAGTAAGTTAATTAGTGGGCTCTGATTGTGTTTCTTTTGGTCGTCATTTTGAAATGAAAGTCGAAGGCAGTTGGTTCCGGCTTTTACCGGCTTTAGACCCCGGGTATAGTCAAACCCCTCTTCCGTTGTAAATCAAATTTCTCGACATTCTATAATAAAGCCCTTCAAAGATGGTGTCCCGTCGTTGTTGTTGTTTTTATTTTGTGCTTCATGTATTGATACAAAAAATATAAAGGTAAAATTCTCAACGATGATTACGAAGGAGGACTACACAGGGAACAGTTCTAACTTTTGAAGTCCATCATGAGACTGAAATAATGCCGGCCATCTCAAATGAGATCAGTTATTGGGCAGTGTTTCTTTGTTTGCGATTCATACAAAACTGGGGTCGAGCTATGGCTCCAGCGCACATCATTTGAGATATCATCGAGGACTGTTCTGAGTCGCCTGAGGGAAAGCCGTCGTAGCGAAAGAGACAGAGACCCGTATTTTCCTGTGGAACTTACGGCAGGACTCAAACACATGGTTCCCGAGTGCCATTTATGTAGTCAAGAGACGTAGTCTTGTAGAGTCATTATATGAAAGAAATCTTGCAGTGTGACTCACGAAAAGGTATTCAATAACGTTCCGTGTTTTTAGTAGTAATGCTTTCGACTATGGAGGTTCCATGCACGGACAGGTTTTCTTTCCCATGTTTTCCGCATGTGAACAGTCAATAAAGATTTCCATCTCATGCCACGTCGGTTCTTCACCAATCAAACTCGATACAAATGAAGTAACAATGAATGTAATAACGCAGACAACGCAAAGCGAAAAGGTAGCGTTCGGTTACTGAGATCACAGCAGGCCATAGATCTGAATCCCTGATCAAAAGTAAAGCCAGTGCCAGGTTGAGTTTTTGTGGAGGAAGTATCGGGGAACCCGGTCTAAAACCATTTCGATTCGGCAACCGACAATAAACTTGAATCACATCTATAAACGTCGCTGAGCCATTCACAGAGGATTACCAGCCTGCGATTTTGTCAAAAAGGTAAGACTGTTATAGTGACCGGTTAATTTTACTTGCAGTACGAAACTAGGTGTAACTACGAGTTCCCAGATATGATCAAGTTTGTGAGCCGCTTTCTTAGGTAATCACTGATCATTGCAACTATCTTACTAGCCCGTGCTTCTCTTTTTGTGCTGATTTGGTACTGAGAAAAAGAGCTTCCTTGGGACATGACTGACTCGCTCGAGATTGCAAGTCGTATTCATACTCGCTCCTGAGTTCTCAGAGTTAAATCTTTAACAAGATCATACCGGCTGCGAAGCTATGCTCCGGCCATAGAAGTCCTTCATATTTTATAGCCCAGTGATCTGCGTTTCAATTCTTACCCTTTTTAAGAACTCAGTGACCTGGCAGAGCATGCAGCAAAAGAACCGATTTGCTGAGAATAACTTTATTGTCACTAGTTTTA